TGTATATATGTGCAAGACATTTAGCGTTGTACTTGAATTAGAGGAAGTTCTTTTCCGCCAAAAGCGCTAAAAAGAATACACCGCCAAATGTAATACGGTTACAGTATCTACTGTTAGACACATGTAACTGAAAGATACCCACATTCATTTTATAGTTATAAATAAACCAATTTTCTATGACAATGACATGCAAAAACGGTTATGTCAGATCACATCTGATTTTTATCTCAAATACCAACCAACGTTTGAAATGGAGAGAATAAAAATAATATTATTCTTACAAAATACATCTTTAGCAAACATTCTTAGTTTATTGCATACGCAATGCTAGTTCCCTTCCGACAAGAGCAAAACATTAAACTCCTCCTTAAAATTGCCACAAAATCAAGTGTGACATACTGACAGACTTACAGCTATATAAAAAGATGAACCTGTGAGGAGGAAATCGATGCGAGGCCCCTGGTTTCAGCAGTAGGGGACTAATTCAATGCAAATCAAAAAGGAAGTAAAATATTTTTATTTTGGGTACTTTTCGTAAACTCCATTTTGCATAAAAAACTTCTGACCTTTTCAGATTGAAAATATTATTTAAAACACAACAACTGAAAAAAATTTGGTCAATCTAAATGCCCTTTATAAGCTATCATACATGTAAGTATTTGTTAAAATAATGATAACAATAAATACACAAAATTTCAACATAACTTATAAAGAACATCGTAATTCAGAAGAATATTCCATAAATATTGCTACTATCAGCTCGAGGCCATAAGATTCCATTCAATCAAACATAAATATTTTCTATATGATTTGATTCTTAGGTGAATAATGTACTAAAGTCAATATAACCCATTCAAGATATCCTTATTAAAAGAACTTTTTCAATGAGAAATATAGATAACATACCACAATCGATTGTCTTCTGTAGATACAAAGAATATTAATATTCATAAATTTATTATTCTTGGATTCGATTAATGCGGATACGTTACAAAGTCGAAAACTTACTTTTTTTTTTACACGTTGTCAATATTTTGATAGATAACGTAGATATGCCTTATTCTACGACAAAATCTAACCTCATTTATCATAGTTTTAATTTGATATCTCATTATTATGGTTTAGATCTGGTGGTAAGATGACGTTCCAGGATTTCTATTGTGTCCTTTAAATCACAAGCTTTAGCATAATGTAGAACATCCCGACCAGTTGTGTCCTTTATATCAATATCTGCACCCCATTCTATTAGTGTTGAAATGTTGAAAGGACTACATAATGCATAATAAAGGGGTGTACAACCTGCTAAGTTTTGACGATTTAAAAACTCTTTTACAAAAATAGTATATTGAATGTCTCGAATAAATAAATCGAACATATCAATACTAGGCGATGCTAAGAGCACATAATGCATTAAGGTATTTCCAATGGCATCTGTGTTTGAGAAGAAATCCATTCCTTTTCTTTTGCTTTTCATAAGTTGTTTCATTATTTGTAAGATTTCTTCTCCTAAAAATAAAAGTGGCCAAACCTCAAGTTCGAAGAAGTTTGAATCTAAATCTGAATTTCGAAAAGATTTGCGTAAAATCTCCTCTTGTTTTATCCAGTTTCGACGACTCGTTTTACCAAGTTCTGGACAGAGACAAGGTATTTTACTTTTATGAAGATTCCATATTTCATCAGGAAGTTTTGCAAGAATTATATTGTAGAGATCAAAATACCTGCCCTGCTTTAAAGCTCCTGTAATAATTTTATGACATACACGTGAACCATATGTATTTTCAAGATCCTTTAAATTACACTTCTTAGCATTATATCTCATAAACGTTCGTACAGTATCATGATTCTCAATATCAAACACTATTTCGAGTTCACCAAATTGTATGCGACCAATTCTGAACAAAGTTTCAAAAAAAATATGAAAGTTAAAAAGTGCATTTTGTAGTTCTGCAGATATAGCATCTCCAGATGTGCATCTTTCTAGAAACAATTTTACAATGCTTTTAAACTCGTGATATATCGCGTATACAAAGGCACTTTGTCCTTTGTTGTCCACTGCGTTGATTAACTCTGTTCTACTAAGAAGACTGCTGACCCAACATACATTGTTGTCTATTGTTGCTAGATGAAGAAGTGACTGACCCTCTTTATTTCTGAACTTAGCAATTGTACTTCTGTATTTGTCCAGAATCTTACAAATGTCATTTTCACTCACAATTAATTGCAACAAATGTCTGTAATTCTTTTCGTGTAAATATGCACCTTTTTCATACAGCAAATCACAAATATCGTAGCGTTGGAATGTAATTGCCATTGTCAAGGTATTTATTCCTCTGTTTGATTCCATATTGATGTCAGCCCCTGACTTCAACAGTTCCTCAACAACATCCTTATTATTATGTTGACAGCACAATATCAATGGTGTAAAACCGTAGTCATCACTTGCATTAATATTTGCCCCTTGAGATATTAGGAAGAAAATAACATCTCGGTGTGAATACTCTATTGCAATATGTAATGGAGTAGATCCTGCCTTGTCTGAAATATTAACCTTTGCGCCATATGCTACCAGTGTTGACACTATCTTGAAATTTCCGCGTAAACAAGCTAAATGCTGGGGACTGGAACCACGTACATTTGTAGCATTGATGTTTCCTTCATTCTCTGTAAACAATTGTACTGGAAGTAAACGACAAGCAAAGCAAGCTATATGCAAAGGCGTGCATTTTTCCTTGTCGAACGCATTTATATTTAGTTGATTATGTATGAGTGTCTGAACTATTTCCGGAAAAAACCCTGAACAGGCTATGTGTAAGAGTGAACGGCCATTAAGGTCAGTTGTTTTTAGATCCATTTTATTTTCAATAAAAATATCTGTTATTCTTTTAAGTTTTTTTAAAACAATTTGATCAGATTGATGATTTTTTTCAGAACAAGTTGCCTCTAATGCATAATGGAAAGCTGTCCTTCCTTTGTCATCAATTACATTAATATCTGCCCCGTTTTTTAAAAGAATAGATAAACAGTTATCGGACAAATTCTTTGCTGCAAAATGTAGAGGTGTTTGTTTATTGTCTGACGAAATATTTGCAAGTGCTCCGTTTGAGAAAAGGTAAGCAACAAGATCTGAATTATCGTTTGCACAACTGATATGAAGAGCTGAAAAACCTCGCATACTTTTCGCATTTATCTCCGCTCCATATTCTAAAAGTATAGAAATAATATCTTTATTTCCTTTGATGCAAGCTTTTTGCATTCCATCCTGTAATTGGTGGCTGTTTATTCCTTTCTTAATTAACAATTTTAGGATATCACAATCTCCATTAAGACAAGCTAGAGATAAGGGGGTATCGCCTGTGTTAGAAATTATATTGATATCACATTCACTTTCAATGAGGAATTGGACAGTTCTAACGTGCCCTTCCATTATAGACTTATGTAATGGTGTCAGTCCTTGAGAATCTTGCAAATTTATTTCTGCTCCATTACACAAAAGTTGTGCAACAATTTCAACGAAATCATTTGTGCATGAGAGGGAAAGAGGTGTTTCTCCATCTTCATCTCTTAAATTAACTCTAGCCTCATTGGAAATTAATATCTTTATCACTTCTAACTGCCTACTTTGACAAGCTGCATGAAGAGGTGAAATGCCATCTTGATTCTGATAGTTGACAGATGCCCCAAGTTGAAGTAAATAACAAACTAAACTGCAATGGCCATATAAACTAGCCACCAGCAATGGGGAAACTGTTTCGTCAAATAGTTGATAATTGGAAAGGAAGTCATTTTGTGAGCAAACTTTGATTTGGATGAGATATTCCAATATTTCTAGATTTCCAGTAATACAAACAAGTAGAGGAATGGGAACTTGTACCACTGGACAGTACACATCATGGCTCGAGATTTTCAGGTTTGTTTCACAAAACAAACAGTTATCATCGTTCTCCATTCCAAAATCAATAAATTCACCAAGACTACAAAAGACCTCACTATAATATTGAAAACATCTTTTCAAAATCTGAATATTTTCACTTAAGATTGCTAAATGAAGTGTGCTTGCTCGTTGTTCAAACATTGTTTTGAACAAAACTTCATTTTCTGACTCGAAAAGCTTATCAACAAAAGCTGCCCAGTTGTATATAATTGTCAAATGAAGAAATGTAACTCTACTATTTCCCAACAAATCTTCCTTGGAGAAAGAGTTATATGCTTTTATGTAATTCGATGGCAAATTGTTGCTTGTTTTCAAAAGCGTTTCCTCCAATACATGTTCATCTACTAACAGGTCATATAAACATATTTCAATTTTAGCATTTGGCATGCAAGGATTCTTGAAAGTATCACTAACCAGTCCTTGGCTGATATCTTTCTGTATTCTTTTAGTGTAAAAAGGCAGCATATTTTCGTCCAATTCTACAAAAAACAAATCTCCATTGTCGTCATCTCTTAATCTTCCAAGGGGTCTTAATCTATTTTGAAATATTTCCAAAGATGAGAATCGTATTAGGGTTTCTGGTGATTGTTTTCCAAAGTGCCATACAATGATATCCAACAGCTTAGAATGTGTTAAAGAAAATGTTGAACCAACATGTTTTACATACTTTCCGCTTTGTCGTTTGAGCGCTGAAAGTAATTCTGATGGATTAAGATCAATTTTACATTCTTCATGAATTTCATAAAGACATTCATAGTCTTCGTTCATTTGATGAAGATATTCAAATACTTCATTTTGGCCTGCGTTTGATAAATACAAATTAAGTTTATCTTCAGCAAGAGAACAACAAACTAGAGAACAATATTCGTAAATGCTTTCTGGTTTTGGGTCGTCCACCAACAAATCAAGCATAGACACGAGTTCACTGAATGGGTTGTCAAAAAAAGAAATCCAACGCTTTGGGTCAGCCCATATATTAACGTATAGCTTACAAAGAAGCGGAAAACAATCAATATGCTTTTCGAATATCCCCTTATGGAAATGCAGCTCACATTTTAAGTGAGATTCCAAGATCAGCTTTCTCTCAATAAAAGTTAAATGATTCTCTTGTTTTTCCAAGCTAAATAAGGTATTGGAAAATACCTTAATTCTTCTAATTGCACGGGTTGAGCTTATTACTAAACGACATGAAACAAGTAGTTTTGACTGAACTTGATCCTTGTTTTGCTTAAAATTCAAACATTTCATTATGTCTTCAGAATACCTTGCCCATTCGTTAGCTTGATCATTAACTGAATATTCCCCACATGGGTCATCAACGACAAAGACTTGTTGATTTCGTCTGTCGTGAAACGTCATAATTTCTTCAGGACGGTTGATGGGTATGATAGAAAATCCCTGTTTTCCCATTTTTAGGGCAATGTGATGAATTATTGCTGATTTTCCTGATCCTGGATGACCAACCACCACAACACATGGATGTTCTTTGATAAAGTTTTCAACAGTTACGGATGCATTTATTTCTACGAATACTTTATCTTCTTCTTCCCATGACTTCAGTTTTTCTTTAATTAATTCTACATATAAAACAAAAATCCAGTTATATAATCTATTTGTGTATTTTCTAAACTTTTCGTTTTTGCTTCAAACTCAACAATTAAACATTTTGATTTTTTTCCTCTATAACAAATCATTAATCATTTCTAAAAGTAAACTGGTCATTTCTTAAACATGTGGCACATTAACCAAATGTAAAGGTTATAACTATGTTTTCAAGAACTTCAGGTCACTAATACTTTAAGGTTTAAAAATGATTCCACATTTTTTATTTCCTAATTACTTGTAAACACAGATCACCTCTAATATTCCATGGGATAGTTTCTGACTGCTCCATCATCAGTTGTTTAATTTTCAGAAAAAGCTCCAAAACGAGCTCTCTTTCAGACTCATCAATTGGAGAAAATCTTAAAGCTTTAGCTTCATTCAGTAAAGCAGAACCTCCAAGTCTTCCGATAGCCTGAAAGGATATGATTTCTTAACAAAGTTTCTAAAAAATAAACAATTCTTTTGATTTAAATTAAAAATGATGTGAAAAAATCTTCACACATTCATATATGAAACAATCATTAAGTCTTGTCTTTACAGATGTAAAAGATTCTGCCAAGGCAAGGTCAACTTTAAAAAAAATGGTTGCTCTCTCCAGATCGACTGGCTAAAAATGGCCGACTCAAAGAAGGATATGGAGATAACGAACAGTATTCAATACTAACGTCCATTTAACAAAATAAGAGCAGAGCAAACATGGACCCCCGAAACATCAGAGGTGGGATCAGGTGCCATGGAGGAGTGAGCATCCCCCTGCCGACCTGTCACACCCGCCGTGTGCTCGTTGTCATGATCAGGAAATAACGGAAAAAATCCGTCGTCAATTCAGTGTATAAATAATGGACTAACAAGTGGTATGAAAAACGTCAGTCAGCATTTGACTTAATGATAAATTGTATTTGCTGATAAGGTCATTGTATCGACCATAGAACTTACGAAATGATGACTTTAAACGAGACTGTTGATATTCTTGATTCATCAACTTGCTTGTCAATAATTTACCTCGTTTACGAAATTGTTCATACGTAGAGCACGCTCTTGCGTATCGAATCAACTGAGATATATATACTCCGTATGCAGGTGATGAAGGTATATTGCTGCATAAGTAAGGGAAGTTGACGATAGAAAAGTTAAAGTCATCACGTTTATCATATAGCTTGGTTGTTAGATTACCATTAGTGTCTTTTTCAAGTAAAATATCCAAGTATGAAGCAGAAGTGTCGGACTCTGTGGTATCTTTTATCTCAAGCTCACCACGATATATCGTATCGACGTAGGAATGGAAATTATCATTATTAATTGACAATACGTCGTCAATATATCTAAATGACGAGTTGAAGGCAACAGCAAGTGTTTTCTTCTTTCACGCATAAGATTTTGCATAAATTCTGCTTCATATGAATATAAAAACAAGTCTGCTAATAACGGAGCGCAATTTGTACCCATGGGAATTCCAATAGATTGTTGGAATACCTGGTCTCCAAAAACCACATAGCTATTGTCAATCAGAAACTCAAGCATCTTCTTGATGTGAACTTCAGAGTACTTATGTGTGCAACCAGAATCTGTTTTAACAAAATAATTTTTCAAATGACCAATGACGAGGTAATCTTTTTTTCAAATGTAAGGTAACATGTCCCTCTGTTATCAATGAATTTTAAGATTTCTTTCATCTGGCTAAAAATAGTTCAGCTTACCCCCTCTACATCTGTCCAGCTAGCATTAAATTCACTTGTGTTCATCCTTGCATCTGTTGAATGCGCCACCCTGTTTCTGTAAAACTTTATTCTTGCTATGTCAGCCCCATCACTAACTTCTTGTTGATTGGGCAGATTATCAAAACCGTTTCTTGGTGCTTGTGTAGATGGACTCATGTTTCGTAAAAGGCAAATTAAAAGGGTAGCATCAAAATCCCTTGACAAAGGGTTGGGAACTAAATTAATTGAAAATGAAAATTTGGAAAGTTTTGGTGAGAGAGAGAGAGAGAGAGAGAGAGAGAGAGAGAGAGAGAGAGAGAGAGATCTAAGAATGTTTATAATTATGTTTTAAACTTACTAAGACAGTATAAAGACATTTGTGATTATTTTCTGTAAAAAAAAATGTAATTTTAATTTCAAATGCAGGGGGGAGTACATATCTCCTGCTAGCCAGCAGACCACTACTTATACTTTATCTGAACATGATTACCGAATTTATCATAAAATGTCATATCTTGATTTCCTGAAGTTGTTTAATATTGACAGGAATGTCTTTAACTACAAATATACCTCCAAAAAGTGTGTCCCACTGAACCTGATTTATTACTTTTCTGGCCTTTAAGCTTAACAGTGTAGGTCTCTGGGTCGCTAGGTCAGTAACAAGGTTATTTGGAGGATGAACTGTATCAAAATGGACTCTTAGGGCCTTTGGTGCTCTCTTCAGAATCAGATTAACAAATCTCAGGAAATTGGTTTCTTCTGGTGACACAGTAGGCGTGGTTCCCGTGGCTGGAGCTCCTGTACACGAAGGTACAGTAGGCATAGATGAAGCCATGATGAATTAATTTTGATTTTGATGTTGTTGTTTGATATTTTCTCACATTGTCATAACGCCCGGATAGTAATATAACATTTTCTGTAAATGAAAAAAAAATGTCGAATAAAAAAGTTATCTCAATGTAAAATTTTAACCTGAAATCAGTCAAAAAAGAAATCACTTATACGGGTTATGCAATTGATAACCTTCTCAAAATTTGTTTAATATGTATTTCCCAATTGAGAGAAGTTTCTTTCGTATAACAAAAATCATTTTCCACTTTTGCATGACGTCTAAATTAGGATATATTTACATTTTAAACCACTGACACATATTCCTTTCCTTTAATGATTACTGTAAGGAAATGACGATCTGGGTCCAAAATTCCTTCAGCTGGTTTGTTTAAGCACAACCCGTTGAAAAGAGTTTTAAAATACCCCATTTCCTTCTCCTTTAAAGCTAAACACGATTCGTAAATGTAATGTGTCCGCCATTTTAGTTCCCAAGTCTAGCTACCCTGCAGACCCTTATAAATAGGGCAAGAAGTAAAGACTGTTCAGTTTAATCAGTCGACATTGGTGTAGACGGACGTATGCTATACGGGACATGGTAGCGAGAATAATAACGTAATACTTCGTCTATTGCAGGAAAGTAAGATACCAAACAAATTTACAATTATTGTTGTATAAGTCAGTACAGTATACAAACAACATAGATAAACGTAACTGCAATAAAATATAAAGGTAATGCAAGATAACCAGCACGAAAACGGATCGCCATTCCACGCCGATACCTGTGACAATAAAGCAGTCAGGAGTAACGAATGCGACGAGTATACCGTAGTATTGATGTATCGTAGATAATGCTATCAAAAATGGCGTATGCCTATTTACGAGTTGTGTTCAGCTTTAAGATCTTTTTGTTTACTTTGAATGCGGTATTGTAAACGCCTACGTGTATTACAGCTAGTAATAGCATTTAAAAACAGGGTCAAGGTAATCAGCAGTCTGCTGATTTGATTAAAAAAACTAAATAACATGCAAACACATTAATGAAAGTGATTTGTAAGGAACTTAATGAATTTTGCAAACTAAACATTGCTTAATATTGTAAAAAATAAAAGTAAACACTTAAAGTCCTCGTAACAGACATGTCAATGGCTGTCACGCCTCATGGTCACGCCACCCAGTCCTAATCTAAAAACAAATAAACATCTTTTAAAGGAAAAAGGAATCGATGATAAATTGGTAAATAAAACTTACCTGAGGAAAAAAATACCGTGTTGCCTTTCTTTGATTCGAATAGGTAGTTGATTTAGTCAGATATCCGCCATTCTTTTAGTCTCATTGCGCCACCTAGGCACTAGGTAGTATGAAATGCATTGGAGCAAATCAATTGCTACCACAAAACAAAATATATTTATATTCATAAAATACACACAACTCCAAACAGTATGTGCAGTCGTTCTGTCATCATCATTGTCCTTATACACGGTCAAATTCTCGGTTTAATGACTTTCGCTTCAGAAACTTCTACGCATATTTTTTCCTATATCGCTTATTCAAATTTAAGATGGAAATTTTCCTTTTTAAAAATAGCTTATCTCACCCTTCACTTTTCTCCATTATTGATTTCTGAATAGAATGTCATAGTGATTATGACTATGATAATAATTATAATAATAATAATATAGAAATATTTGCATATCAAAATATTATCCCTTAAGATTTTTTACAAAAAAAAGTTCTCAAGAACTACAGGATGAGAATTTTTTCCCAATTGTGAGGATTGAAGTCAAAAATCAAAGTACTGAAAGAAACGAAGGACGGATGCATGAATACTAATTTTGTATTGCATAATTTCATTACATAAAGTTTTGTATAAACAGTATGCTTCATTACGCAGCACAGTTAACGTTACAAAAAAGAGGCGGAGCCTAATTTGTACGGGAAAACTTGACTATGACATCATACACAATATACGTCATACAACATTTCTTTAAAATACCACAAAATGAGTTTATCTGCTAATTTAACCAGTTAGAAATCATCAAACTACATAAAAACTTACTACAGTGTGTTGTTTTGTCGTTGGTTAAATCCCACATAACAAGTTATAAACAAGTCACTGATCGCATTACACCTGATGTAGGTTTATAATTATATGCTGTGTGTCCGTTATTATATGTTGCGGTTCTATTATATAATTATATATGCCGTGGCTTCAAAATTATATGCTATGGATGTATTTTTATATGCTGTAGGCTGTAATGATTTGAATTGCAATCCTTTTTTCCCAAGAATGTGCTATTATTTCTATAATTCGTTATACCTCATTTCATATTTGTTTCAAATTCCATTGGTGAGTCAATGTTAGCGAAATATATATCACATACGGAAACTGGTCCTAGTCTTAGACCCATCATATTTTCAAGGATTTGATTATTAATATTTCCATTAATTCGTGTAGAATACTTTTTAGGTTAAATCTGAGTAAATTATTCAGGTCTGCTGTAGTCAGGGCATGGACTAAGAAAATATTATTGTCAATCTCTCTGCAAGCCGTTTCAACAGCAGACATTAGCTCTTCTATTGCATCTTTGTGTAAAGTGATGTTAAAATATAGTAAATACAGCTGCGTTAACCTTTCGGTATAACTGTCTTTTATGAGATATAATAGACCTTCCTTTAGGAATAAGAAGATAAGAATAGATTAGAATTCTTATCATAGCCTTTTGTGTCATTAAACACAGTTAAGAATCTGAGTGATATACCTCTCCTACATGTAACTAATTTTGGAAAAAAGTATACATGTGTATTATTAGTTTCATTAATTGCTGCTACATTCTTACTTCTTAGAAAACAAACTGAGAAAAATCCTTTTAAGTCCGAAAAACGTTTTATTAATATCTATGATAGTCAAGTTTCGTACTTTGTGTATTGTTAATCTCCGTATTTTCAGTTCATTTTGTATTGTTAACATAAAAATTATGCCTACACAATTACTTTAAAATATTTGCAATTTTCCTCTGCCTTAAGGATGGGTCCGATGTCTTGGATAATAATTAAACAATTTAAATCACGATGTTTTATTCTTATATTTATATACTGAAAGAAATAAAGTAACATTGTTGATAAGGATCGGTGAAACACACGGCTGCTGTTTTTTACCTGAATACAGTCAACCTACACCTATCAAAACTTTCTCGAAAAAAGTATAATGTTATTTTCATTAAATGCTGCTATAGTCTTACTTCATAGAAAACAGCCTGAGAAAAATCTTTCTAGGCAAGAAAACGTTTTGAAAATATTTATGGTATTAAAGTTAAGTATTTTGTTTTTGTTTTATAAATCTCAGAGTTTTTAATTGCATGGGTATTGTTAATATAAAAAAATGCCTGAATTATTTATATATATATGCTTCATTTCCCCTCCCTTCTAAATAATAATGTCTTTTGGATACGCCACCACTTACTGGTGAATAGCTGCAAATTTTGTCCTATACTCGACACTCAGGGTCATTGGGCAGGGAGGGATCTTTTTCGTGCCAGCACCTACTGCGACACGCGACCTCATCCGAAGTACCAGTCTTCACGTCTCATAGTGGAATTCGAACCCGCGACATAAGGATCAATTAGAGCGACTCTAGAGCAGACGTTCTAACCAGTGCGCCATGGGGGCGACTGAAATAGAACTCCGTAATGGCCCATTCATGTTAAAGTGACTATGTGAATGGAAGATATTCAAGATGTTTGTATTACTCAAGAAATACTTATTTTCGATGACATTTTTTCTCTTTACCTGGTTTTTGACATACATATCAATGGTAGTTTTCTATGGTGTAAATTCAGCAACAAGGTTACTGTGCTTTAAATCCTCTCTAGAGAATCGTTAGAAGTCTGAATCGTCTAAAGACATCCTAGACCTGGCTCCAAAACTATAAACTTAGAACAGACTTAAGGCAAAATTTAGATTTTAATATTTTCATTGATATTTAATAAATATGCTTAAAAACATGCTAGTTTGTTTCATATTTTGATTCAAACATGACTTTAAAATTTTGTTTCATTTTGAAATTTATTTCAAAAGTTACATTGATTTGAAATTTTGAATTAAGTCTATTATCAATTCATGGTCTTGGGGCCTGGTCCCTATCCACTGAACAATGAGTACTTTTGTTACAGGTTCTGCTCTCTTTATGTTTTCCTGTGTGTCTTTAAATTTATTTTGTCGCCCGCGTGGCACAGAGCGTCTGATCTAGTGTCGAGGAGTAAGGAGATTGATTGATTGATTGTATACTATTTAACGTCCCTCTCCAGAATATTTCACTGATATGGAGACGTCACCATTGCCGGTGAAGGGCTGCAAATTTAGGCCTATGCTCGGCACTTAAGGCCTTTGAGCAGGGAGGGATCTTTATTGTGCCACACCTGCTGTGACACGGGGTCTCGGTTTATACGGTCTCATCCGAAGGACCGCCCCATTAAGTCGCCTTTTACGACAAGCAAGGTGGTACTGAGGACCTATTCTAACCCGGATCCCCACGGGATGAGTAAGGAGATGATTCGTACGTCGAATCGAATCCAACTGTTGGATCTGCAAACCTTCGGATGAGACCATAAAAATCGAGGTACTGCGAAGCAGTAGGTGTATCGACAGCCGACTTGAAGTGTCAAATCTTCCATAAATAAAAATGTAGATACTTAATAAACCTCTCCTAAATACACTAAAATATCAGCAGCAGATTAAAATAAACAAACGGGTAGAAATTCTTTAGGTTTGGGATCTGAGATAGGGATCATATTCTTGCTAAAACGAATTTATAGAAGAGAAAGATTTTTTTGGCCGGATGTCTGATTTGATGAATAGAGAACTATGCGATGGAAATTATTCATACATGTGACTTGTGTTGTTCCGAGCCTCAAGTGTAAGCTGATATATTAAAATGCTTCCCCTTCGATGGATACACAGAAAAAAAAAGGTATACATGTAACTGGAAGGATTTGTATAAATCTAATCCGTTCAAACCCTTGGGATTTATCTGAACCCTTCCTCACTGATAACGCAGAATTGGTTACGATAAGATTTTTGGTGCACGAGATCCTGAAAATATTGCTCTCAAGCGTTCCTGAAGTCTGAGACTAAGAAAAAAGAAATTGAATCTGTTTAGCAGTGTTGATTATGCGGTTTGAATAAATAATATTATTCGGAGACTTACGAGGGTGACATGCTTGAAATTAATCTGCCATTAATGTAAAGGTAAGCAAACAAGGTTTACTTTATATTTTAATAACGTAACGGAAATGCAATACCATGTATATTTAAAACATATTTTCAAACAATCTAATTGCAATTTATCTGTTGTGCTGTAATTAAATTGGTACATAGTATTAGAATCAGCAAATTGCAAAAAAAAAATCTTACAAATTTTATAACATTTAACAGGGAAACGATGACTAGATGAGTTACATGTGTGTATCTACAAATAGAACTCTGGATCTATTTGAGGAAGTAAATTTTGTTGTCAGATTGCCAAGAATAATTTCATCGTGCATGAAATCTACTTTTTTGTAAAAGAATACCATATGAGCATTCCAATAAATTCTTTGTATTGATTTGACCCTGCAAATCTAGGGGGAAAAATAATAAGCTGTATTTAATATTCCTTAAGAGATTCTGGAAATTGGTCAGTCGCCCTTTCTCTATGCAGCTCAGAGAAAAAGATGAACTTACCTTGGATTGAAATCAAGGGTTCTTCTAACATGGTCAAACTTTTTCTAATTATAAACTTAAATATTAGTTTTGCAACATTTTCTCTTTGATTGGCTTGCGTGATAATTTTCAATGTATATTTTAGGCACACATGAAAACATACAGAGACCAGTCTCTGTTACAAATGTACCCCCATTATTTGGTGATAGGGACCATGTGTAGGATGTTATCAGACAATTCTGTAGAGAGGATTAAAAGCAAAGTTACCTTGTTGTTGTATTTATACCATTAAAAACTGCAATTTTAAAATATGTCAAAAGTCAAGAAAAAAAATGTCATCGAAAATAACTATTAATTGAATAATCCAAACGTCTTCAATATCATTGATACTACACACATGTGCTCTTTGAGTATACCTTTATTTCTTATCTTAGAAATGAAGTCGTAGTTTGAACTGTTATTTTATAAGAATGACTTTTAAAAACTTTTCGAATTTCATTCGTTCGAGTAAAATCGAGTTGAATTTCGAATGAAAATAGTAATGAGGAGGTAGATTTATCTAGTTGTGCACTAAAACAAATCGAAATCAGTTTTTATATTATAGAGTACCGAGATATAAAAATAATACATGAAAAAATAGGTTAGCATAAGTGGTATTGTTTAACACATGTATAAGGAAGGCATTATTTGTACATGTGATTTATGTTGTTGCGACTAATAAGCGTTTTCGGAAAATGTCATTTTGGTGTCCTTTTGATAGAAATGTACACAAAAAATTCTGATGAATGTAATTGAAATGTTTTGTTAAAATGGCACTCCATTTAAAAAAAAAAGCTTTCCAAGAGAGAGAGAGAGAGAGAGAGAGAGAGAGAGAGAGAGAGAGAGAGAGAGAGAGAGAGAGAGAGAGAGAGAGAGAGAGAGAGAGAGAAGAAAGAAGTCGGTATTTATCTAGCTGTTGTATGCCAAACAAGTTTTTGTCTGCTTGGTTTATGTGTTTTGTGCAGGACTATTTAAACATGTGAGACGAAACATAAGACATGATCATCCTTAAGGAAGGTTGAAATGGCGCATTGTTAAAAATAATTGCTATGACATTATTTTTCATGCTTACAATACCTATGCAAATAAAAACAATTGAGATTTTTAAAACCAAAAATACTGAACTTGAATATCATAAATATTTTATAACATTTTTCTGGCTTAGAAAGATTGTTCTCATATTAAGATGGAATGCAGCAACATTTAATGAAATAGACAATATACTCTTTTCAGAAAATTTAGCTTTGTTAAGTGTAGGTTGACAATATTCAGGTAAAAACAGCAGTCGTGTGTTTTCACCCATCTTTATCAACAATGTTACCTTATTTCTTTCAGCTTATAATGAAACGATCGCGATTTAAATTGTTTGATAATTTACAAGTACGTACATTTATCCGGGACTTAGGGCCCATTCTTCCATCATCAACGATATTTCTCATATCCCCCGAACGCCTGAGATTTTACCCGGCTAAATGGCTGAAAGTAGTTTCCTTCTCTGAATTCACATGTTGCGTACATGAAAAAGACAAAGCAATAATCATGGAGCATTGTAAACACAATTATTATAGCCATTGTTGGGCATATGGGTACATCCCACTAATTATTTTTAGAATCGGTAGGAGAAGAAAGTAGTGCAGAAAAAATTACAAGTTCCTTAAATTGCAGACTTGCATAAAAAAAATTGGGCAGGTATACTGAACTGAGCCTCACACTTGTTGATAAGGAGTATCTATCCTACCAAAAAAGCTTTGAAAATGTAATTTATCAAGAAGATCAGCCGAATTATTTTGTGTATTATAACGCCAGTGAGAATTCTGAAATCCCCCTACTTTCACTTTCATTTTTAGAGGTTCCCGCAGACAGACGCATTTTGCCGGAAAACGAATCTGACATGCCACCTCGAGATTTTAACCAAGGAAAGACAAGTTGATGTGCTTTGATTTGAGGGGTCACTCACTACCGAACGAAAATTAGGGACATCGCTATGAGAAGAAACGTTAACATTGTCGCCTATGGGAAAACAATTAGTGGACTGTACCCATATTAGGAAGCCTATAAGTAAGTGAAAGATGTCATAAATCTTGAATTTATTTCAAAGTTGTTGTTTTCTATTATTTTCAATTGTTCAAATTTACGAAAAAAACAATTCTTATATTGTTGATACACATTTTCAAACAAATTGATTCATAAATAAAGTGTCTAGATCCCCCCCCCCCCCCCCCCCCCCCCCCCCCCCCCCCCCGGAACAGACAACATGTATCACCCATTGTTTACACATGTATCATGTAGATTAAATGTATCGGTTTATATAATTTATTTATTCAGAATCATAAATGTATAATTTGATTAAGAAGCAATTATGTAGAAGTACATGCTCCACTGTGGTTTATTTTCAATACATAAAAATTCACAAATGAGTTCGGGATCGGTATTCAATCGGGGTCAAGGTCGAAGTGAAAGTAGACAGCAGAAAGTTATCAAAACTGTTCAGGGCAGTGTTAAGCAGTATATAGGTGATGGGCATTTGTATTTTACACAGGAGGTAAGAGGTATACCCTAGTACAATATTTGTAAATAACAATTTAATGTTTTTGGAACATGTCGATGATCGGCGCGTCACATATGCATACTTGACACACATCATTTCAGATCAGTTGCGCGGTCAAGCTGGGTACAGTTGTCTGGGAGTTAAACGATGTGTGTGAACATGCACATTAACTGATTTTTCTCATATTTTTTAGCAATTGCATTACATGTATTTGTTGAATGTTCAATTATTGTCAGTAAAACATGATTTTTACCTATATAATTCTGCTGAATTAACTTAATTACCAATGTAAACAGTGTGATTTCAGGTGGGAGCAAATTAATCATTTTTTAAATTAATTAATTTCAAGTAATGGGCATAAAAGGAATATGGTAAAAATTGTACGTGTTGAATGTCTGTGTGTCTGTCTGTCTGCAAATGTGATATTGTACCATTTATTGTATTGATTTTTTTTTTTTTTTTTTAGGTTTATGGTGATTGGTTCAGGAAAAAAATGAGGTCCATGCAGATGGTGTTTAAAACTATTGGCCAGCAAATGCACACCCATTTGAATACATCTTGAAAAAGAACCAGCAAAATGTGACAGTCGGCAAAATATGTAAGTTTAAGTTTTCTAAAAAAAAATTTCATTAAAGTGGGGGGATGGGGTGGGGGTGAGGAAATTTACATATTAAATAGGTGATCAGAATGTGAAAGTATTTAGCTATAACTAATCTGTACATGCACTGCTATATACATTTTGCAGCTCATATAGATTTTCTTTTGTTATTTAAGATTTTCAAATTAATTAGATCTACATCTTTGTTTTGTTAATTATGCATTAATAAGATTACACGGATAAAAGAATTGAAATTTCATGAATATTTGACAGTCAAAATTATGCGATTTGTCAGGAAATTCAAAATTTTGTCTCATTTTCCTACAAATTACAAAATGGTTACCATGGAAACAAAACAACTTTAGTGAACTATTTATTTAATCTGCAACACCACATATTTTTATTTTTTAAAGTAAATAATAGTATATAAGCACTGATTTTGTCTTAAATGAAAAGTACGGGAAAAGTAATGATACACATGTATTGAGCTATCCATTATTATGATGTCATTGTGACGTCATAGATGAGTAAATTTGCATTGGTATAAAAATTGCTTTGAAACAAATGATTCTATATAGGATTATAAAGGCTTATAACTTTTTCATTCATAGTCCAAATTTCATGAATGATACATCAATGGACAGGAAATAATAAGTACTTTTTTATTTTACTACTTTCGGGGTATTTGTGAACTTCATTTTTTTGTCATTTCTGGAGATACTATGAATTAGAGGGTGAAAAGTGGTCATATTTTGTGCGGAAATACATTAATTTTTTAAAATAAGTGAAATTGACCCAATTAAGTGCTTGATTATGATTTGACTATATGTATTTAAAGATATGAAGGTGATTAAGAATGGTATAAATGTGTTAATAGGCTAAAATTTGACTCAAAACTTGGGTGCAGTTTTGGCTAGATTGGAGCATTTTTTAAGGATATTACACATAGAACTGTAAATGCTGTAAAATCTTAATTAATTGTTGAATTTTCATGAAACTTGGCATGATGTCTCTACTTATGCTCTAGATTGACAAACAGTGTGAAATATTGTAAAATCAAAAAAATGCTTTTTCATATTGGGTACATCCCACTAATTATTTTTAGAATCGGTAGGAGAAGAAAGTAGTGCAGAAAAAATTACAAGTTCCTTAAATTGCAGACTTGCATAAAAAAAATTGGGCAGGTATACTGAACTGAGCCTCACACTTGTTGATAAGGAGTATCTATCCTACCAAAAAAGCTTTGAAAATGTAATTTATCAAGAAGATCAGCCGAATTATTTTGTGCATTATAACGCCAGTGAGAATTCTGAAATCCCCCTACTCTCACTTTCATTTTTAGAGGTTCCCGCAGACAGACGCATTTTGCCGGAAAACGAATCTGACATGCCACCTCGAGATTTTAACCAAGGAAAGACAAGTTGATGTGCTTTGATTTGAGGGGTCTATAACCACTAACCAAAAGGTTAGGGGTCATACAAAATGTTAATTTAGAATATTATTTTATTTCCCTTCATTTGCAATATCTGTTTATGTCAAAATCAAATCATGACAGTATTTAGATCTACCAGATGGCTTGGCTATCACATTATTGTTATTAATCCCTTGAAGTTTAATTAGTTAATCTCTTAGTCAATTAAGTTGCCTAATTATCTATATCTGAGGCACGACAGGTGTGACAACAATTATCACTCTACCTGTCCATGTCACCTACCCTTTCATTGACAAGACATTTGAGTAAATCACCTTAATTACTTAGATCAACTCAAAGGCAATTATATATGTATATGTAAAATGTTTAAGAAGTCTAAGTCAGAGGACAGAGAGTCAGAGTCAGAGATATAGAGTGTGTTAGCTAGAGTTAGGACATGCAGCTAGCAGACCCAGTCTTAGATGTGTATTATATATAATGTACATATTCCTGTAATAAAGACTGGTAAAGACATTTCTACTTATGTCTTAATCCTTGAAGGTTTTATGTCAAGGACAGTAACCAAGTCTAATGGTTACTGCGTGACCGAGTGTTGTAGGGTGCACTACTTATTCCAAGTGGACCCCTACCCTCCCCGACGGCCGGTCCCAAGGTGGTGGAGAATAATCCGGGCACCTCTTATCTGCAGCGTGCGAGTTTCCCCAAGACATTAGCCAGAACCCAAGAAAGGAAGGACAACTCCTTACACGACAGTTAATGGTGAGTACAGTCACTTTCTTTTGTACACTTCAGGAACCATTTCTTTATGCTTGTGACACCATTGAATATTTGTATAATAGTACTTAGGTGATTAAATAGCAAAAGGTTTATAATGGATTGTTATAGTGAGTGTTCAAGAGAGATCTGTACAGGGACGTTTATTGGTAGTCTTTCACCAGATAATCCCATTTTATCATTCTCGGTCGATTTGGAGAAAAATCTCCTCCCGGTTCAAATAAGACGACATGATATTTTTGCTCTAGTTGATACTGGTGCTAGTTTTAGTTGTGTGTCTAGGAGTCTTCTTGAAAGAATATTCGGTAAAATTTCCTTATCAAGTAGTCAAGTAAAGCACGGAATAGGTGTTTGTGGAGAAATTCACAATGTGTTAGGAACCACAGAGCTAACTTTGAGTATTAGTGGTCATCAGATACCTCATACCTTTCATGTGTTTGAACGTCTTCATCATCCTGTTATCTTAGGCATTGACCTCTTAGAACAAAACCATGCTAGGCTAGACTTAGAAAACAAAACAATGACCTTGCATAGGGGAATTATTGAAACAGAAATGTTACAGAATCAAAATGTTGAAGAAAGTAAGAGTTTAGGTAGAGCAAAATCGGTACAAGCTACACACATTGCTCCATTCTCAGAACATCAAATACCAGTCAAAATATCACAAATTCACAATCAAAACAACATACTTCTGGAGCCTGCAAAATTATTAATCAACAAGCAACTGCTAGGAGCAAAATGCCTGTCCAACATACAGAACTCACAAACATACTTCAGAGTGCTAAATCCAACAAACACTACGATTTTTGTACCCAAAAACACCTTGATTGCATTTGCATACCCAATCACAGACGAAATTCATGCCATCACATCAAATGATCAAGCACAAACACCTTCATCATCAGAGACATTGGAGCAAAACCATGATCCATCTGAGTACAGAGAGATGGCCCAGACAATGGACATAGACATTTCAAATTCTGACCTAAGTAACCAACAGAAGAACAGATTACTAGAATGTTTAGGGCGAAATCAAGATGTGTTTGCCAGAGATATGGCCGAGTTAGGAAAAACGGATATGTACCAACATGAAATTGTTACCCATCCAAATACAAAACCGATAGCATCGGCACCTTACCGTCAAGCTCCTCAGATGAGAAGAGAGATTGAAAAGCATACCAAGAAGCTGCTAAAATATGACATTATTGAAGAATCTACATCTCCATGGCACAGCCCAGTTGTGATGGTAAAGAAGAAAAATGGGCAATACCGCATGGCAATTGATTATAGGAAGCTAAACAAGTGCACCGAATCCATGTCCTTTCCTCTTCCTCGATTTGAAGATGTGATTGACACTTTAGGAGAGGCAAATGCCCAAATCTTTTCCGTAATCGATTTAGCCAGTGGATTTTACCAAATTCCATTAGAAGAGTGCTCTAAACCAAAATCAGCCTTTATCACTCATCAAGGTGTATACCAATTTAAAAGACTTCCATTTGGCTTGATGAACAGCCCAATTTCTTTCCAAGCACTCATGACGAAAGTTCTTCAGAATCTACTATGGAGCACAGCTCTGGTGTACATAGACGATGTCATAATTTTCTCAAAGTCATTTTCACAACACCTCGAAGACTTAAATGCAGTATTCTCTCGACTTCGACAAGCCAAGCTATCTCTTCAGCCATCGAAATGTAAGTTCGCCTGCAAACAAGTGACATATCTTGGCCATATCATCTCAAAGGATGGTATTCAAGTGGATCCTGAAAAAACAAATGCCATTGACTCCTTCCCAACTCCGAAATCTTCAAAACAGATCAAGTCTTTCTTAGGAGTGTGTAATTACTATAGAAAGTTCATTGAAGGTTATGCCAAAATTGCATCCCCACTAACAAGACTTTTGTCCAAGGATGTGAAGTTCTTTTGGGGACCAGAGCAAGAAGCCGCCTTCAACACTCTCAAGAAAAGACTTACATCGGCACCAATTCTGAGATATCCAAACTTCAAGAAGCCCTTCATCATCTCCACAGATGCTTCAGACCATGCCATTGGGTTTGTGTTGGGACAAAAGGATGACACTGGACGAGAACATGCCATAGCCTATGGAGGAAGACAACTACACAAAGAAGAAAAGAAATGGCACATTACAGAAAAAGAAGGTCTAAGTCTAGTTGAAGCTGTCAAACAGTTTAAACCATACATCGCGAATTCCAAATTTATAGTTTACACAGACAACATTGCTCTAAAGTGGCTTAACAACATAAAGAACATGAGTGGACGACTTGGAAGATGGTCACTTTTACTCCAGGGATTTGACTTTGAAATACTTCATAAATCAGGTGTAACCAACCAAAATGCAGATGGGCTATCAAGAAGAGAATATGGTATCAGTCAACAACCTTCAGCATCACTATCAGAGGATGATTTGGCCAACAACATCAACTTCTTAGCAACTAATGAGTCAAACCTTTTAGCTGTGACACTAACATACAAATTTGAAAATGAAAGACTATGCAACATACAAACTTTGGCCCCAATAGACAATGGACAAATCCCACCTACAGATGTTCCAATTACTCCAGAGTTACAAGAACTTCAACAAAATTGTCCTGACTTTGAAGACATTTATAAATACAAATCTGTGAAAGAAGTACCACAGGATGCAGGATCAGCAAGACGAGTTGTAGCAGAGAGCTATACATTTGAAATTGTAAATGGTATCCTGTTTCATCTATACCATGATAGAAATCGTGCTGTACCAAGACATCAAAGAGTCATCAAACAAGTTGCTGTACCAAGATGCTTAAGAGATGATCTCCTCAAGTCATATCATGATTCCTTAGCTGGAGGTGGTCATCAAGGATATGAAAGAACCTTTGAAGCTCTGCGTCTAAAGTACTACTGGCCAAGAATGTATACTGATGTCCTTGAATACACCACTACTTGTGAAAGATGCCAGAGGTCTAAAAGAGACACCCATGCCAGACCAGCACCACTCCAGCCTATGCCAATTGAAGACGTCTTTAGTCGAATTCACATTGACATTCTAGGACCTATCCAAAAGTCATCTTCTTCAAAACAGAAATACAATTATATTCTATTAGTTGTAGACAGCTTCTCCAAATGGTGTGAAGCTTTCCCAATGTATACAGAAACCAGTAATGAAATTGCCAGCATTCTGTTCAGAGAAATCTTCACAAGATATGGAGCACCACGCACCATAGTTACAGATCGTGGACAAGCCTTTCTGTCAAAACTTATTGCAGCTCTGTGTGAACTATTTCAAATAACCAAGAAAAACACAACGGCTTACCATCCTCAAACCAATGCTGCCTGTGAAAGAATGAATAGCTTCATACTGCAATCACTTAGAGCATACACTGATGGCAAATACGACAACTGGCATGAAATACTTCCTTCCATTATGATGGCCTACCGAATGACACCTGCAACACAATCTACAGGACATTCTCCATATTACCTTTTATTTGGCAGAGAAATGAGATTACCAATAGACACCGCACTTATTCCTAAAGAGAACATGTCTAGAGACCATCAGAATCATGTCAACAAAATCATAGAAAATCTCAAAACAGCCAAGACGATTGCAGCTGAAAACATTCAAAGGCATCAGGAGAAGTACAAAACACAACATGACAAGAAAGCACAAATGCCAAAGTATCAGACAGGAGACAAAGTCATGCTGTATATGCCAAAAGTTCCTCCTGGAATTCCACCTAAACTATACTGTCATTGGTTTGGACCATATTACATTCTACGAAAAGGACCAAATCATACCTACAAATTGGCAAAATGCTCTGACGATAAACCATTGAAAACCTTAGTAAATGCAGCCAGACTTAAAGTGTACAAGAGCCCTCAAGACCGTCCAAACTATGAGACTGAAGCAGAAGATTCAGATACAGACACTTCAGATTCTGATGATGAATTGGATACTCCTGCCAGTGATGATGACATTCCACCTTTAAATCCAAACCAACCTCAACAAGTACCCCAAACTCCTATTCCTACCCTTAATCCTAATCCAGCAGACAGACAGAAGCAAGAAAGTCAAAAGAACCCAGCACCTGTACCTGACAAAAACATTAAATTAGTTTTACAAGCTAAGCGACAAAATGGACATACCTGGTACAAGGTATCATATCATAACAGAAGGGGAACACAGTGGAGGAAAATGGAGTATGTACCATCTGATCTACGAAATAAATTCCACACAGAGAAAACTATGGCAGGAAAGAAGAAGAAACCACAGAAACTGAAGTATCTACAACAAGACCAATCTCAAGCTAAGAAAGACACAAATGAACCACAACAGAAGGCTCTTCCACATCCACAAACTAAACCATCCATTAATCAATTGACTTCCAGCCATCATTGTAATTGTAGTGCCAAAAACAGAAATGTGGAGACCCAAGCTAAATCACAACAGCCAAACAACCCAGAGGTTAAAAACAGACCAAAACATGATGTAGCAAACTGCAGCTATTGTCCAGCAGAAAAGAAATTAAAGTATCCTGAAAGCAACTTTAGTCCAGAAGATTTCACCCCTTTGCTTGCAACTTTACAGAAAGTTATTGGATGTAGAATTGTTGAAGATGAGCTTGAACTGTTTAACTTATACAAGTGTGAGAAAAATCAGACAAGAAAACAATGGGAACATGTACATGACTCAGCACCAGGAGCCTCTGCCTTCCTCATCAAAGAACTTGAGTACTCACTTAATGCATGGAAAAGACAACTGGCATATATTGAATATCACAGTCTCAGTGTAAATATCCTCAGAAATGTTTCTCACATATCAGAAATAAGAAAGAATGGTTCAGACATATGGCTGTATCGAGTGCATTTTAGGAATGATATTAGGCCACCAATATGGACCAAAATAGAAGGCATTCCACTGCTGATACTTTCTAGGTTCCTCCAGTACATCACCGAGCAAAGAGCTCAAATAGTCAAGATAATGGATGAACTTTACGGCCGAAATAGACCTGGTACTCGTTGCTAAATTGACAATCACAATAAACAGTTTTTATGCAAATTTTCTACACCTGTCAATCCTACACAACACATCCACAGTCCTGACATATCAACTTAAGCAAGCTCAACACATTGTCACTACCATTAAACATCTGATATTTTGTTTAATCTAGATCAACTTCAATTTTAATTTTCATTCTTCATAAGTTTAGGCATTATGCTAGAGAGGAATAATAGCTGTTCCTTAGTGCTAGTTTTGGAGTACATCTGCAGAGTCTCCAAGCAAATAATTGAATTTAGCTTTTATTGCTCTCCGCTTTACAAAATTACTGAAACTTAAGTTTCTGTCATTCTCAGATAAGTTCAACAGGTTAGACTTTATTCATTCTTGTAGTTGCAGGAATATTATAAGAGTTTAAAATAATGTAGGCTTACTACTGGTTATAGGTCTTATGTTACCCTAAGGGTAAAGGTTTTCTACCTAATTTCAACCAGTTTTCTGCATTAATCTTGAAAGGTTCTTTAGGCAAGATGAATTAGTCTCCACATTGCATCCAGTTTACCAGTTGTTATTTATCATAATTATGCATCTTAAGGAATGTACTTTAATGTATGTTGTGTACTTGTGAATTTATGTGCCAGCTGGATTAACTCCTTAAACTGCTGGAGAACAGTACAGTACATATAAGTGCAAAATTGATTGATCTTTTGTTTTCAAAATTGCCATCTTAAGGATTGTTGTGTAAGTTGTAGGTTATGGTGTCACATGCATAAGGTTTTTCCTGTTGTGTATTTGATTGTGATTGTACATTACTTCCATTAATTGATTAGCATCACTGTACCAGCAAGTTGGAATCCTTAACAACTTCGTGTAGCCTTGCAACTTTAGAAACCATGTTCAACTTAACAATATTGCTTTAAACCATATGACTTTCAAGCAGCTTTTCAGTCCATCGACTCCCTGAGACAATGTGATTTGAGCTTCAAACAAGACAACTACACCTTGCAAGAAAGGAAGTGTATATCCAATACAACATTCAACTCAATTTAGTTAAATGATCACCTTCTAAATCTGTGTGTGTACTTGCCGAAATCAGCTACACCAATTAACCATCTACGCCCAGTGAACATGGTGAAATAAGTGAAATATTACAGTGAATTAGTAGAATAGTCAATATTGTATGGAAATGTTTATTGTGTGATTCCTGATTCCGAAATGGATTCCAATATTCTGCTAAGGATCTCACTTGATTTGCTATTGACAGACAGCTTCCTGTGTAATTTTAAAGAACCTAACGATGTCCAAGGACAACAACGCAAAGAGGAATCAGAAACTTTCAAATCAAAAAATTCTTTTCATACTGTGTTGACTTTAATGTTCTTTCATATGACTGTTGACTTTTGATCATACTTTCATTTCATTAGAATGTATATATTTTATTTTTTTTAGGGTTTGCTATGCTGCATAGATTATATACTTACAAATGTATATATACTTGTACTAGATTCTTATAGTTCTCATTGTCTCCACCAATTTATATTTTAATTTTACAGGAGTAAAATTAGGTGGGCAAGGGGGATGTATAACCACTAACCAAAAGGTTAGGGGTCATACAAAATGTTAATTTAGAATATTATTTTATTTCCCTTCATTTGCAATATCTGTTTATGTCAAAATCAAATCATGACAGTATTTAGATCTACCAGATGGCTTGGCTATCACATTATTGTTATTAATCCCTTGAAGTTTAATTAGTTAATCTCTTAGTCAATTAAGTTGCCTAATTATCTATATCTGAGGCACGACAGGTGTGACAACAATTATCACTCTACCTGTCCATGTCACCTACCCTTTCATTGACAAGACATTTGAGTAAATCACCTTAATTACTTAGATCAACTCAAAGGCAATTATATATGTATATGTAAAATGTTTAAGAAGTCTAAGTCAGAGGACAGAGAGTCAGAGTCAGAGATATAGAGTGTGTTAGCTAGAGTTAGGACATGCAGCTAGCAGACCCAGTCTTAGATGTGTATTATATATAATGTACATATTCCTGTAATAAAGACTGATAAAGACATTTCTACTTATGTCTTAATCCTTGAAGGTTTTATGTCAAGGACAGTAACCAAGTCTAATGGTTACTGCGTGACCGAGTGTTGTAGGGTGCACTACTTATTCCAAGTGGACCCCTACCCTCCCCGACGGCCGGTCACAGGTCACTCACTACCGAACGAAAATTAGGGACATCGCTATGAGAAGAAACGTTAACATTGTCGCCTATGGGAAAACAATTAGTGGACTGTACCCATATATATGAATATTTATTCATTTTTCTTTGACTAGCAAACAAATTATATTATTATACCTCATTATAATTATTCTACACGACGTGTTCTCTGATTGGTGATGAAATAAATCTTCATATGTCCCTGTCGTCGTCATGCTTTTTGTCATATTCAACCTCTTTGGGTACCTTCTGCATTTTCCTTAATAGGCGTTTGTCTGAGAGTAGTAGATGCCTCAATTCATTGGTTCTCGTTTTATTTCTTCAGAGTGTTTTTGTCCACGGATTTCAGTAATTTTACATTCTAAATTGGCAGTGAGTTTGTGAACAGTGTCGAATTTGAAAATTTTTCTCTTTTTAAGAGTTTTTGCTTAATACGGTAAATTAAAGAATTTGTTGCATAAATGATAGGGAAACACTAATATCATTTCAGTCAACAGTTATCATATATGATTTTTCTTGGCTGAATAAATCTTCATATTTCTCTCACGATCATGCAATAATAATATTATAATTTATGACATATGCTACAAAAAAGGCTAGGAACTAGGCAAAGGGACATAGTACATGTACATGTACCTCGAGAAGATAGTTTGCTGTCATTGAAATATGCTTAAGCCGAGACTCTAAAGCAGACTCTCTACCATCACTTCGTCATGCGGGCGACTCTCCAGAATTAAAGAAAATAGATATGATAGATTTGAAGAAGGTTTACAGTTGCATTATGCATTTGTAAAATATATGAAATATATTTTTCAGATATGGTAGCTTTACACGTTGTTTTGTAATTATTATGTAATATTAACCTTTGGTCTCTTTTTTTTCAGAAGAAATATATTTCAGTGTGAGTATTCCTCATCAGCTTAAGCTATGACACTGTGAGAATATTTAACAACTTCAATAAAGGTCCTGAAGAGAGCAACAAAAGCCCTAAGAGTCCATTTCGATACAGTTCATCCTCCAAATAACCTTGTTACTGTCCTGGCAACACAGAGACCTACGCTGTTACGCTTGAAATCAAGAAAAATAATAAACCAGGTCCAGTGGGACACACTTTTTGGAGGTATGTTGAAGACAATGTGAAAGAAAGTGTTTAAACATGTTCCTTTCAATATCAGATAACTTCACTACTTCAAACATAATATTTTATGTTAATTTATTTTATAAATAGGAGTAAGTAAGCAAATAAAGAAGGGAATCAGAGTATACAGGCAGATCGGGAGATCATATCCCTCTGCATCTGCAATTGTAACAATTTCATTTTTTCCTACATAAAAGATTGTAAATGTCTTTGCTCTCACTGTTTCAGTTTAAAACTTAATGATAAAAGATTAAGTTCTCTCTCTCTTTCTCTCTCTCTCTCTCTTTAAATTTCCAAATTTCATTTTCAATTGTTTTAGTTAACAATCCTGTGTCAAAGGACTTTGATATTTCACTGTTAGTCTGCCTTTTACGAAACATGAGTCCCTCTACACCAGCACCAGCAGGGGATTTGATATTCTACCCAATCCATCAGATGTCAGTACTGGGGCTGACTTAGCAAGAATTAAGTTCTACAGAAAACACAGTGGCCCATTCGTCAGGTGCAAGAATGACCACAAATGAATTTAATACTAGCTGGAACGACATTGAAGGGGTTAGAAAAAATTCTTTTGTCATTCTATAGTCTATGTAGAAACTGATTGATACAGGAGGGATATAATTACCTTTCCATACCCTAAAAGTTCGTGTTTCCATACCTCAATTCCAATGGTTCTTCTGAAATTTACCAAATTGTGAGTTACATTCCCTAAAAGAGATTTTATGGACAGGGGTTAAAGTAAGTAGGAAGTTACCATGAATGAGTTCAATTAACCATAGCAAAATACAAAGAAAAGTGAGAATTCAAAAAAAAAAACTAAATGTTCTGTTTGTCTACAACTTTTTAGTTTAAACAACATATGCATAATCAATGGAAAAAATAAAGAGCACATGCCATAATTTGATTAATGATTATTTTACAAATAACTCTTTAGCATATCAATATTAATTTATTTTCCAATACAGTTGAATAATCCACAATATATTTCAATTATTTTAGGCTATTGGAAGACTTGGAGGTTCTGCATTACTAAATGAAGCTCAAACTTTAAGGGTAACCTCAATCGATGACTCTGAGAGAGAACTTCTATTAGAGCATTTACTGGAAATAAGACGGCTGAGATTGGAACGGTTAGAAACGATACCCTGGAATGTTAGAGGTAATCTTTGTATACCACTTGGATATATTAAGAAAAAGTCAATCATTTCTCATTCTTAAAGCTGATAAGACACAAATTTAATGTAGATATTTTCTAAAATTTTCTGTAAAAATGCTATAACTTTAGTTAAAGATAAAAATTGTGAAGATGTAAGAATGTGTCAATCAAATGCGTCTAGAAATTTGAAGTTTCAAAAACTTTGAGAATAAATAAGATTTTTATAATAATGTCGTAGGAATAGTAGGAAAACATATAAGTTATGGAATTATACAGATTTTTTAACATCAAATCCATGGCTATGCACATTTAAAGTAATATTGGTTTGTAACTCTTTGATTTTACATTTGATATCAAAGTTTTTTTTAATAAAAATAATGATTTCTTATGATGAACAGATAAATAAAATTCTATATAATAAGCAAACCTTTGCTGAAGTTTTGTCTAAACTGCATGCCTAATCAGATTTAAAAATATCCTTTTACTCATTGCAAACATTGGGTAACTACTTTCAAAAATCTTAAATGATCAATGTTATCTGTAGAAACGCCAAAGGTATATATCTATGATTATAGATCTACAAATATTTTACAGTTAAAGTATATCATTGAGACAGTTAGATTACAGTTCCCCTCGACCAGGACTATTTCCCGAGGCTGCGACTCGGGAAATACTCCTGGTCGAGGGAACTTTGATTTTGCTAACTCCCTCAATGATATATTTTTAACTGTTTTATCATACCGATACAAAAGTGAAAAAAAGTAGAGATTTACAAATGACAGGGAATTAGCTTCCGAACTAACGCATGTGGGATTAGCTATAGTCCATTAACGTATTAGACCGACATAATAAAATATAGACTTACTGATAACTGGGGTATTAGCTTCCGAAGCAGGGATTAGCTCATTTGACTAACGCAT